CCCCAAAACCCCAAAACCCCAAAACCCCAGATCATGAATCCACGATTGAACAATTTAATATCTAGTAGAATATGACTTGAGTTTTTAATAAGGGCTTATTTTTGAAGTTTAATGGGGGAGGTTTTGGGGAGGGATGATAAGGTTTTATGGAGGGAATTTAAGGTAGTTGGGTGAATTTGGACCATGGGGGATTAGAGAGTATTTTAGTAGATTAGACTACCTACTTTTGAAGGTGGTTGAGCATTTTGGATTTAGTGATATGATCAAAGAATCAAATGGTATTAGGTGTTTTGAGAGTTATTTTTAGGTGAAGGTTTGGTAAATAAATCAATTAATGCTCCTGATAGTCTTAGAGTGTTTAAATTTACTAAATTGTTAATCCTTTACTAATAATAAGTGATCTAAAGCAGATCACCCTTTGAAACTAGCAACAACTAGTTTGTAAAAATTGATTTAATTCAGAACAACCTGTTGGAGATCTGTATCTGTCTAATCAGGGTCTAAATTCATCATCATTTAAGTGCCTCATAATTATTAATACCAGCTCTCAGAATTAGTATCATCTCATAATCTCTTCAAATTTTTCTTAATTTCATTCAGAAAAATTACAAAAAATGAAGGTAGGTTATCATTTTATTAAAATTAAGGTTTAGCCTATCGTGGAGCTTCAGCTTGAAAGGAAATAAATATTAATGCATTCTCACGCTTTTAATAATTAAGGCTATAGACTAACCTTATCCCTTTTAAATAAAGTAACATAACGAGTAAATAAAATTTTAAGTGAAAAATTTATAGTTAGCCTTGTTTATCAAAGGGTTCGACGTCCTCCATCGTTACATATTTTTGATCATCACACATCCTGACCTGTTCCTCTTGGTTCATCTCTTGGAAATTTTGTTGAATATTTTCAAGCTCTTCGACCTTGAGTTTAGAAGCAACTTTAAGAAAATTTCAATTGCCGTTTTTGGAAGAGAATCTAGTTTTTATTGTATTTGGAGAAGATATCTTCTGATATCTTTGACTATTACTCCACTTCTTATATTTCTGCATGTCAGTAGTAGTCTGGAACTCAAGGGCTTCTGTTGGAGTAACTCTCAACAAGTTTCTAGGAAGTTTATCACCAGAATATTCATAGTTTATATCACCAAAGTTACGCCTGCAACTCAGAGTCTTCAAATCAGTACTACGAAATATCTTCTTGAAGTTTGGAACTTTGCTCGGCACAACGCCTTCTGTAAGAAAGTCTTCAGGTAAGTTTTCATCACTTATTACTTTTGACAAATTGTTCATATTTAAATAATAAAGTTTATTATTATCTCATCTTTTTTCCTTTCAACTATCTCAGGTCCTCGAGGGGTTTTGGGGTTTTGGGGTTTTGGGGTTTTGGGG